AATAAATAAAAATAAATAAAAATAAATAAAAATAAATAAAAATAAAAAAATAAATAAAAATAAATAAAAATAAATAAAAATAAATAAAAATAAATAAAAATAAATAAAAATAAATAAAAATAAATAAAAATAAATAAAAATAAATAAAAATAAATAAAAATAAATAAAAATAAATAAAAATAAATAAAAATAAATAAAAATAAATAAAAATAAATAAAAATAAATAAAAATAAATAAAAATAAATAAAAATAAATAAAAATAAATAAAAATAAATAAAAATAAATAAAAATAAATAAAAATAAATAAAAATAAATAAAAATAAATAAAAATAAATAAAAATAAATAAAAATAAATAAAAATAAATAAAAATAAATAAAAATAAATAAAAATAAATAAAAATAAATAAAAATAAATAAAAATAAATAAAAATAAATAAATAAATAAAAATAAATAAAAATAAATAAAAATAAATAAAAATAAATAAAAATAAATAAAAATAAATAAAAATAAATAAAAATAAATAAAAATAAATAAAAATAAATAAAAATAAATAAAAATAAATAAAAATAAATAAAAATAAATAAAAATAAATAAAAATAAATAAAAATAAATAAAAATAAATAAAAATAAATAAAAATAAATAAAAATAAATAAAAATAAATAAAAATAAATAAAAATAAATAAAAATAAATAAAAATAAATAAAAATAAATAAAAATAAATAAAAATAAATAAAAATAAATAAAAATAAATAAAAATAAATAAAAATAAATAAAAATAAATAAAAATAAATAAAAATAAATAAAAATAAATAAAAATAAATAAAAATAAATAAAAATAAATAAAAATAAATAAAAATAAATAAAAATAAATAAAAATAAATAAAAATAAATAAAAATAAATAAAAATAAATAAAAATAAATAAAAATAAATAAAAATAAATAAAAATAAATAAAAATAAATAAAAATAAATAAAAATAAATAAAAATAAATAAAAATAAATAAAAATAAATAAAAATAAATAAAAATAAATAAAAATAAATAAAAATAAATAAAAATAAATAAAAATAAATAAAAATAAATAAAAATAAATAAAAATAAATAAAAATAAATAAAAATAAATAAAAATAAATAAAAATAAATAAAAATAAATAAAAATAAATAAAAATAAATAAAAATAAATAAAAATAAATAAAAATAAATAAAAATAAATAAAAATAAATAAAAATAAATAAAAATAAATAAAAATAAATAAAAATAAATAAAAATAAATAAAAATAAATAAAAATAAATAAAAATAAATAAAAATAAATAAAAATAAATAAAAATAAATAAAAATAAATAAAAATAAATAAAAATAAATAAAAATAAATAAAAATAAATAAAAATAAATAAAAATAAATAAAAATAAATAAAAATAAATAAAAATAAATAAAAATAAATAAAAATAAATAAAAATAAATAAAAATAAATAAAAATAAATAAAAATAAATAAAAATAAATAAAAATAAATAAAAATAAATAAAAATAAATAAAAATAAATAAAAATAAATAAAAATAAATAAAAATAAATAAAAATAAATAAAAATAAATAAAAATAAATAAAAATAAATAAAAATAAATAAAAATAAATAAAAATAAATAAAAATAAATAAAAATAAATAAAAATAAATAAAAATAAATAAAAATAAATAAAAATAAATAAAAATAAATAAAAATAAATAAAAATAAATAAAAATAAATAAAAATAAATAAAAATAAATAAAAATAAATAAAAATAAATAAAAATAAATAAAAATAAATAAAAATAAATAAAAATAAATAAAAATAAATAAAAATAAATAAAAATAAATAAAAATAAATAAAAATAAATAAAAATAAATAAAAATAAATAAAAATAAATAAAAATAAATAAAAATAAATAAAAATAAATAAAAATAAATAAAAATAAATAAAAATAAATAAAAATAAATAAAAATAAATAAAAATAAATAAAAATAAATAAAAATAAATAAAAATAAATAAAAATAAATAAAAATAAATAAAAATAAATAAAAATAAATAAAAATAAATAAAAATAAATAAAAATAAATAAAAATAAATAAAAATAAATAAAAATAAATAAAAATAAATAAAAATAAATAAAAATAAATAAAAATAAATAAAAATAAATAAAAATAAATAAAAATAAATAAAAATAAATAAAAATAAATAAAAATAAATAAAAATAAATAAAAATAAATAAAAATAAATAAATAAAAATAAATAAAAATAAATAAAAATAAATAAAAATAAATAAAAATAAATAAAAATAAATAAAAATAAATAAAAATAAATAAAAATAAATAAAAATAAATAAAAATAAATAAAAATAAATAAAAATAAATAAAAATAAATAAAAATAAATAAAAATAAATAAAAATAAATAAAAATAAATAAAAATAAATAAAAATAAATAAAAATAAATAAAAATAAATAAAAATAAATAAAAATAAATAAAAATAAATAAAAATAAATAAAATAAATAAAAATAAATAAAAATAAATAAAAATAAATAAAAATAAATAAAAATAAATAAAAATAAATAAAAATAAATAAAAATAAATAAAAATAAATAAAAATAAATAAAAATAAATAAAAATAAATAAAAATAAATAAAAATAAATAAAAATAAATAAAAATAAATAAAAATAAATAAAAATAATTATAAACAAATAAGTGAAACTTCTTACAAGAAATTATATTTCTCGATGTCCCGATACCTCGACAGCCTAAGGGAGGCCTGCTTTTCTTAAGGACAGTTTTATGAGACCTGTTAGAGAGTCAGTTCCGCATGCAAATCTGGTGATATTAGCAGATGAGAGAAATATCTACGCTCGTGAGATAAGAACTTCTTATCCCGCTCATTTTGCGTGAGTTTATTAACACAGGCGTTTTTCTTATCTCACTGCTTTTTAATCAATCAAATAATAAAGTCAAAATGTCAAAATCTATTTAAAGTTAATAACAAATTACTGTCACAATCTAAAGTAACAAGTAACTATATTTACAGCTTATGTTTTATTATTATTTTGACTTAGATTTTTCCGGTAACACACCGGAAATAGCTTTTAAAGCTTGTTCTTCAATATCAGATGGTAAACTCTCCGAATAACTCATTTTATTACTAGAAAATGCAAAAAAACGTTAAAAATGAATTATTTTTGACAATATTATCTTTGCTAAGAAAACAAAACGTTTTTATTTATTTGTTAGAACCGCCACCCAACATTTCGATGTGTTGCCAATCGACATGTAGGCAGTGGTGGAGAACAATAATCCTAACTTAAGTCTTAGACAAAAATTATGTTCATTTTTACATTTAGAGGCGTAGATAAAAATTTGTACAATATACGTGTGATAACGCTTTATTAAAGTACTTCTGCGATTGCCTAACTCGTGCTACGCACTCGTGCAAATTAAATTTCGCATACGTACATTAATAAAGCTCTTATCCCACTTATATCGTAAATAACTATTATCAATTAGATTACTATACTAGATTACTAATCTTATCTGTAATCTATAATACTATCACATACATATTAAGAACCCTAAAAAACATATTATTCCGCCTTTTTTTTGGAAAGTCATGCATTTTTTATGTTAAAAACACGATTCCACGCGTGCGAAGCCGCCGGCAACAGCTAGTTACAAATAAAACTAATGTGCCTAAATATTCTAATTGTTTAAAGTCACAAATGAAGTATTATTCTGGCAAAGTAACTGTTTTTTACGAAAACGACTTTGTGTTAGGGATTACCAAAGAATAAGAACAAATAAGATCAAAGATATTATCAAAAAGACAATTGGTCCACGAACTTACATAATTTCCATTCCACTCCAGTGTCCCGTAAATAGTCCTACTACGGCCTTTATTTCGCTTCTGCTAAGGTTTGGAAGTTGATTTTATCTGCTCTTGGATATACCGCCTATGGTGATACCGCCTATGGTGTTCTCGATGTATCTGTTTCGTTAGCATCCTTCATCTATCATGTTGGTATGAAATACCGCATGGTGGGTTCTGGTCCAAGTAGAGTTTTACCAGCTCCCTTCCTTGCTAAGGAAGTCTGCTTCCTCTTTTCCTAACTCCCTCATGTCCAGGCACCCATTCAAGAGAGACATTGTTATGTTCTGCCAGGCCTTGGAGAGACTGTTGGAAATCAAATATTAATTTAGATTGCAGGGCTGTCTGATTGTCTGTCATAACAAAAACTCTCTTATCTCTAAAAGAGTCATTTAGCATAACTTTGACGCAGGCATGTATCGCTGTTACTTCGGCCTGGAAGACTGTTGTCAGTGACCCCAGGTTCAGACTAATGATCTTCCCCGAGTTTACATGGTAAATCCCAGCTCCTGTGCTGTTTTTCATCTTCGAACCCTCTATATACCAGATTGATTCGTTTTGTATTTCCGTATTTTTCCGGCTTTTGGCCCTTTCTAATATTTGAATATCGAAAGGTTTCCTAAAGTTATGAATAATAGCTGTTTTATCCGACGACATTCTTAACAAAGGGTATTTTGTGAAGTTCTTTTTTTAAAGTACGCAAAAAAGGATTAGGCGTACTGATGCAAGCAAGTTAAACATTTCAATTTGGGGTTTAAATTGATGAACTGTATAGTTTTATTTTATCCCCTTAAAATATTACAATTCCCCATTTAACCAATCCTCTATCTCTTATAATAATAATAATAATAATAATAATTGAGATACCAACCAATGTGGAGACTTCAATTTCGCATATTGCCCAAGAAGTTAATAAGATCAAGATCGGTCAAAAGAAGAGCAGTTAGAGAGAAAGATAAATAAAGAGCATCCTAGAACTAATTTCAAAAAGAGAACCTGAAATTAAATAAAAAAACGAAGTTTTTTAAATATAACTTTTATTACGAATAACACAATATATTTTATAATACTTTCACTAATAGTACTGAAATTTTTTCAATAATTTAAGTACAAATCAATTTTGCATTTTTTGGTAATTTGAACTTGACACCTCTTCGAATAACCTCAACGTGGCTTGACCTGTTTCCTCCACCATCTTACGTAATACTCCATTTTTGTTTTGAAGAAGAAAGTATGGATGGTCGTATTCTATAACCTCGCCGTTGTCCAATGCCAAAATTTTATCTGAATCGATGATAGTGTTCAACCGATGAGCCACGGTCAGGACCGTACACTCTGCAAACTTCTCACGTATTGTTTTCTGGATTAATGCATCAGTCCTGAAAAAATATTTAAATTGAATTAGAATGGTTTTGTCATAATTATGCTGCGTTTCAATATCCACATCGGATGCATCTGAGATGTTGTGAATTTTTTATCACGTGATAGAGAATTAGATTTAAATGTAGATGTAATAAAAAAACGCTCCAGACGTAGTAAAAATGACTATGATAAGTTAGAAATTTATACTTTTTGCATTTAACCTTTAAGACTAAATATCAACAAACTAAATGCTTCTATGTTCTAGCTAGCATGAACAAATAGACCGTCGGATAGTGATCGATTTAGGTGCTCCATTTTCGCATACAAGCCTCGAAGAGGGTTGAAAAGTACATCAATGATGAGTAAAATAAAAGAAAATTTACCAGTGGCTCTTGGGGATAACACATGGAAATATCGACTTTCCTTATCAGAAAAAATGTTTGACCCTAAAATTCATTTATACATTCAGGTCATTCAAGAAAATATATTTTTCGGACTAGTGACGATGTACGTTTTTATACATTCGATGGGCTTGTGTGGAAAAATCTGGTAAAATCTTGATTTTCTCTAAGAAGATTACGCCCTTATTTCAACCCTTTAGCCTCTTGCAACATTAATGCCTTTGGTTTTCCGAAACCTAGTTCTATTAATTATTCATATAGTGGAAACGGCTTGCGTGGAAATATGGGCAACAAATAACCTTTCATTTTTGTTGGGGAAAATAGAATTTTCCATGTGTTATCCCCAGGAGCCACTCGTAAATTTACTTTCATTCTACTTAAAATCAATGTACTTTTCAACCCTCTTCGAGGCTTTTGTGCAAAAATGGGGTATCTAAACCTGTCTTCATCTGACGGTCTAAAAGGATAAATCGATAAACTTGGCTTCACAGAACTCCTACTTTCTGGCATGGAACGAACATCTCATTTCAAATCGAGATGTAAAAAATCTAATCTGCATTGGAATTCTCATCTTTCAATTCGGTACGTGTTGAGACGACTATCTTCGTTCCACAAAATGCGATTCGTATGTAATGTATCTTTCTATTCAATTCGTTACGTGTTGAGTACGCACATAAAAATCGCTGTCCTGAACAGCTACATCTCGGATAAACAAACGCAGATGCAGATGTAGTATATGTGTCCGATGTGGATAAACAAACGCTCCAAAGGTAAAAAATGCATCGGATGTGGATATTCAAACGCAGCATTAGTATAGGTACACAGGAAACAAAAACAAATAGACTAGTCAATTTGACATTCAAGTATTATTTTTTATGAATTTTTGCAATACAACCAACGTTTGCTAACAATACAAAAATTGCCATTAACTATAAAAATTAAAGAATTCCTCCACATTTAAAATACATTATTTTTATTAAAAATGCTTTCGACTGGCCTAATATCCTAATGAGTTTCTAGGGGTAAAAAATATGATCTATGTTAGGTTTTTTCCAGTGTTTAATAGTTATTTATTATTTTCTTGAATGTACAATAATGATTAGGCATGTAAGAGTTAAACTGTTAGATTTTTTAAACAGTGTTTTGCATGATGTTGATACATTATGTAAGGCTCGTCTTGCCATTTCTGTGCCACAAATGCTTATACTCGTGCTTATATGATGTATGATGATGCACCCCAAAATATTAAACCATACTAAAAAATAAACTGCACCAATATACATAAAAAAGAACTTTAATACATCAAAAATCAGTTTCTCTTGAGTTTCCAATAACATAGCAACAAGAGCTTATTTTTTTGTGACATTGTCTATTTAAAATTTCCACGTCAGCTTAGGATCTAATGTAATTTCTAAATATTAGTTTTTGATATATTCAATACCAGACCAAAATCTATAAACTCGGGACCTTACTCGGTACTGACGGCCTCGCATCTCCTCCAAAAGTTGGCCCACCTCACGCTATACCTCGTGCTCTTTGATGTAATGCCTGTAGCTGTCGATTGCAGCTATGTAGGCAGTTTGCTTGGGCTTTATGGATACGCCGACTTTCCTTAAGATAGTTCCCATTTAAGCACTAACTACGCGAGGCCTTGCGTAGCTGCAGATATCGATATACAATAGTGAATCTGCTATTTTACGACCCAGGCCACAAAAGTAAAGCGGCTCTGCTATCTAAATATTCTTAGTTAAATCAACGAATAGCCCAGTGCGTGAGAGGGGACCTAAGCGATTCCAACTCGCTTAGAGTGCTTAGGGAACATACTAGAAGTCTTGACGTCCAAGAGGCGAGGGAGGAGGGAGGAGGGCACAAAGAAGATTCCACTTTGGCGTTTTTCGATTGTACCTCGAAAGCTTATGAAATTCTCTAAAACTTTTGTATTTTACACTTTTTTCCAAATCCCAACCAGTTTCGAGCTGTACGCTCCGAAAAAGTAAAACATTTTCGAAAAATAGATTTATATTCCACATTTTTCATCAACCATTCTTTCATGTCATCTTAACTATTCGTCTGAGAAATAAATTCACTAAAGGGAAGTTGTAGAGAAATAAATTAGTTTCAACAATTTATGTATATATGCCAATTTATCCCCAACTGGTACCTGTTACACCAATTTTAAGATTTTTCGTTTACAAGTATCTCCACGATGAGTACTAATAAGTAATAATAAGCAATGATAAAAATATTAATACTCTATAATTCATCCTCTTACGAGTGAATTTTAACCCCTGAATCTGACTGAGCTTGTGCGGGGATGGGACGGCTATTTTATTATTTGCCGTGGTGCTCTGAGGTGACTGAAAAATAATTTTTTTCCAAAATCCCTGTCTAAAAGCAACTAAGTACCCAAAAAGTTTGTTATACGAATAGTTTCTGGGTGGTACATTTAGTAAGGAACAATCTGACTATATCAAAATTGACCAATTAACGAGAGTTCTCTGAAGTAGAGCGTTATCGGTCGAATATACTAACACCTCATATAAGTGATAACTGATTTTATAATTTTTGTGTGTTTCTTCAACACCTTCAGCAGATTTTAAGTGTTTTTTTTTTAAATAATATAGATTATTTTTGATGGTGTTGTTGGGAAGAGAAGAAAGTTTATATATATTTTATCTATTTTCATATTATACTTAGCAGTTATGTTAGTTTGATTTATATTTATAAAAATAAAATATTAATAAAATTAGCTTCTTTGATTGTTTCGTTATAATTTATTGATTAATTTTTAATTTGACCCTAATTTTTTATTCTCCCGCTCTCTTTCATCCTTTTGATATTTTTTTATAGTATTTGTTATAATATTGTATTCTTTCTTAAACTTTTTATAGGGTTCAGTATAATTTGTGTTTTCTATTTCCGCATCAGATGTGTTTTATGCATGTAGTTGATTATTTGTTTTATTTTTTGTTTCTTTGGTTAGATGTGTTTCTTAGTTTTTGTTAATATTACCTACATATGTAAAATATGTATGAAAAATAAAAAACTTTTCATGAAAGTACATTTCATTCCAGTTTTCATTTGATAAAATATTTTTAAATGTACATGTTAAGATCATCTAAGTTTCGACTGTAAATATACTGGACTTTATTATTATCATCAAAAAAGATTGGTAAATTTACACAACATACCCGGGCGGCTATCCTCGATATTCGCTAAAAAAACGAACCGTTTTCGAAAGCGAGTAGTTTTTGAAATCTATATTCTTGACTGGCGTTCTATGAGCATTCGTTTTTTAGAACGTGTACTTTTTTAACAAGCAAATAATATATCTGGCATCACTGTAAACTGTCTATATCGCTGAATTCAAGTAATGTGCAGGCCATAAAAAATAAGGATTATGTAATTTAATTACAACAAACCAATTGTAAATTTATCGAATGATAATTTTTTTCTAAACATATAATATATCAATGTTCAGGATAAACTGAATCATTAATTTTTGGCAGAAAAATAGCTATACGGGTGCAGTCAATGCAACCTACAATTCTAGGAAACTCGTACGTCATAAAAAACCTAGTTTTTATGATACAAAATTAATTTAAATAATAACTTTACTTATCTTATTCAGTTCTTTAATATTTTGTGGCAATTTTACACCGCAAGCAAATTAATATCTGTAAATAAAAATTACATGAATTAATAATTAAATTCTTACACGGTAAGATATAAAAAAATATTTATTCAATATCCATTAAATTCAAAAATGGATTCTGCCTCTGCATGTCTGAATCTTTGAGCATTATTATCTTCCAAGTATTCTAATTGTACAATTATTAATAATAATTGAAAGAAATTCTCAGCTATTAGACTTTTTAGTACTGTAAACCGTATTTATAAGAAATTAGATACTTTTGTAGGTATTAATAAAAAGTAGTTTACCTAGAATTTGTTAAAATCAATCAATATTATTAGACATCCTAAAAGTGACAAATAAGTGACATTGTCTAAATCCTTGAAAACATGCACGTTTTGTCAAAAACGTGTGAAAAATTGCGCTCGCTGTAAAACACCCATTTTAAAAACGTACACGCTTTTAAAACGGATGTCGAGAATAGCGAATAGCTCGTATGTTGCTAAAGGGTATACGTTTTTTAGAAAACGATAGCCGAGGATAGGGCCCCTGATATGTGTGATGAGATTTTACATTTTACATACCTTATTTACATCAAGTTAATTATCTAAGCACGTGGGTATGATACAATAAAAAGAACGTATGAAATTAAGCAGATTGAAACCATGTTACGATTGAGTATTTAGGTGCAAGGCGTAGCTTTTAAGAATTTGAGGTATCAGTTGATCAAAAAGAGCAAGCATATATAATCAGGTACGTGAACTCGACGAGATTTCGTCATCAAGTATCATACCTGGGTGTTAAACTTGTGATTCTGCTAGAGGCCAAGAAATATAAATAAAATTATATATTTAAACTTACTGAGGATCCACATTGGCAGTAGCCTCGTCCAACACCAAAATCTTATTATTTCTTATAATAGCTCTCGCTAAACAGATCAACTGCCTTTGTCCGACACTGTAGTTCGAACCTCTATCCATAACTCGATTCTCCAATCTGTTTATAACATTATTAGTATCATTAAGTTCAACTTCGTTCAGCGCCATATACAAAGTATCGTCTTTGAATTCATCGAATGGATCGAGATTGTATCTAAGAGTTCCTGAAAATAGTATTGGATCCTGAGGAATGATGGATATTTTGGATCGCAATTTTTCCAATGTGATATCTTTTGTGTTTATCCCGTCTATTTGAATTTTGCCATCAATTTCGGATAGTCTGAATAGGGCTGCTATCAGTGAGGATTTTCCTGCACCTGTTCTGCCAACGATGCCAATCTGGAATCAAAATAAAAGCAATTAATCCTACGCATAAAAATTAGCTGGTGGAAAAGCGTTTGATGAGATAAGGTTAAAGAGATTATTATCCTAATAAAACAAAGTAAACATACCAGAACATTTATAGCAACAACAGAATATATTATATGCATAGTGAACCAAAAGAGATTAAGCTATCACTTTATTGGCTATATATTCTTCCTCTATGAGTAATGTTTCAATATGTTCTTGATGATGTTATACCTAAGTAGCTAATGTATATTGATACGAATCCATGCCAAAAAATTACTTTAAATGTCTGTATCAAATTATGTCTACCTTTTCTTTCGAATGAATTTTCACAGTCACGTTTTTCAAAACTTTTGGTCCATCATCATTATATCTCATGACCAAATTATTTATTTCGATGTTACCATAGTCGGGCCAAGTTTTATCAGGATTTAAAGGTTGTGCTGGTTGAAGTTCCGGTTGTAATCCTTTATATTCCAATATCCTTTCAACTGACATTAGCTGATTCGAAATGTCAGCAGAGAAACGTACCAGAAACTGAATGTTTTGTGTTAGAGCAGAAGCTTGATTGATTGCGAGACCTACGTCTCCTCCTGTCAGATCAAAATCTACAGAAAATTAGGTACAATTTAGTTCAAATAGTTAAAATTAAATGATATATTTCGTAGTGCAACATTAAATAAGATAGTAACCAAACATATACAGATTGTATATTTGGAGATAATAATAAATTTCTCAGATGATTACTTAATACCTTGATAAAGAAACAACTAATAAACACTTGACAACAGTATATTCTTAATTAATTATAGATCTTATTACTTACACTCTCCCAGTCCTATCAAACTAAACGTTAAGAAGCCAATGAACATTAGACAAATAAAATCGAGTGCAAATCCAAACGCCGAACTTATGCTAATAAACATAAACCACGCGCTCGTGTGGTAATCTTGATGTCTGTCAAAATCATCTCGAAGTATGTCTTCAGCCTTGAATGCTCGTATAGTTGTTAAACCTTGCAATGTCGCTGTTAGGTGGTTGAAAACTGGACTTTTCACTAAAACAAAAGGAGTAATTACTATATTTAAGCTTTTTTAAATTGCCGCCTTGAGAAAAAACAAATCAACGTCCTTTAATCCCATTGTCTTCAGTCTTTAAGAAAAATTAATTAACAACAAATTAATTCAAAGGTGAAAATAAACACTTGTAGATTTGACTATGAAGACTAGAGATAAGGGGGCGAATCTGCGTACTCAAAATACGGTCCCAAAAAACGCACGCTAATTGAGCTTTTATAATTAACCGCATGGGCGCTGGTACTGCTTACGGTGTTCAAAATATATGGCTTATTATTATACATAATTTTGTCAAAATAATAAAAATAAACTTGTTTATAGCTAAATAAAGCACAGAACATACTGTTGTATTTATTTCCAAATAAGTCTTGCATGTTTTAATTGATAAATTATTTAATTGTATCTATATAAAATACAAATTAGGTAGGTATTACCAAACTTGAAAAGGTTTGTTAAATGCTAACATTTGATAAGCACAATTTGGTAGCAAATTTTTTTTGATATGTACCAATATATAGTTTTAAGAGCAAAATAAAACACAGTTAACAGATTTTTTAAGTATTCGCTCCGTGCGCGACAGCAGCGCCAATTTGTTTTGGCATTAAAGGACTATTTCTGCCTATACTGACAAATACAATTTTTAATAGAATTCGTAAATAAAAAGTATATATGTTAGTTTTAATAAAAGTATATGGATTTGTAAAACAAGTAAAACATTAATTTATTATTATTATATATTTTTCTCGCTTTAATTAAAGAAAATTATCTATAATCAATAAAAATTAATAATAAAATATAGGCAGGCAACAGTATCTACTGGAAAATGTATGAGAAGTTGCCTAAGTCTAATAAGTTGTCATTGAAGAATTAGCCTATTCTGTCAAAATAAAAAAATACCATTTAATATTAGTTCGAAGTTAAAATGTATAAAAAAAGGATCGTTATTTATATTTTCATTTTTGTTCGAAAGGAAACATAGAATAAATGATTAAAACTGGTTTCCCATCAGTCACAAAATTGCATTCCAGCCACATATTATAATCAAAAGCAGAAATCTTGAAATCTAGTCCTTGCTGAATGAACATTTAAGAATAAAAGGATATTAAAGAACATCGTAAAATGATAATTTATTGTTTATTTAAAACCTTTCAAGTTTCTGATGTCTACTATTTCCAGCATTACTGTTATTATCACAAAAATAAAGGTAATTTTTGGTCTTATTGTACACCTATCCGTTCATTTCTTTGATTTAATTTCCACTTTGCTAGTGAAATTTTTTATATAAGTTTCACTATTTTTTTTGCTAGTATTTGTTCAATTTTCAACACAGCAACTCCGGTTGCTTATTGTGTTGTTTTTACCTAGTTTTTTGAAAAAAAGTAAAATGTATACGTGTATTTGATATACGAAAATTTCAAAATATCGCCCTAAAATGCACGAATTATCCGCAGCTAGCGCTAGTATCGCTTTTGCTTCCCTTTCCATGACTTCGCACGGAGCGAATAAAGGGAGATTTGGGAATGTACATGGTATTACCTCATCCTTTAATTTTAACTTTCCCCTTTTTATTTTACTAACAGTATCATCAGTAAAAATATTCTTATAATATTTGATATTTTCTAAAAGTATAGAACAGCATCATCTCTAGAAAGTGCTTAATCGGCACTAGGAACGTTATATATGCTGCCACTGTTCTAAGCGTTTAGTATCATATAAAAAACATTTACAATGACACAATTGGGATTCAACAAAAAAATAACAGTGGCAACTCTTTATCTAACATTAAAACTCTATAAATAATATATAATTATTGTTGTTTGTAAGTCAGGATCTATGACTAAAATTTTATATTATAGAAACTTGTAATAAAATAAACTACACTTACTCCGTAAAATACATAAATAAATATATACATAAATTACATTATTTTATTTACATTAGAAGCTTTAAAAAGACATTAAATTGATTTCTCCTTGTGTTTTCTTTAGTTTTACATTTGATTTGTATCCTGTTGTACAATCTGGATAAATCTTGCTTTGATGTTTTTTTGTCACTTATGTTACTTGTACTCAGGTACTTTTTTTCATATTGTTTTGAATCTTTTTACCAATTTTTTAAAAAATTACTTCATTTTACATTCACTTACATAGAAAATTGACACCGCTGATATTCGCATGCCAACTATAATCAATTTCGCGAACTTTATAAAAAGAAGGACGAAAATTTGAAATTTGACCATTGTCGATTCGCCTCATTTTCTCTAGTCTTCATAGATTTGACAACGGTAAGGACACATATCCGGAGACCATGGATGTCTGGGTTCGATCCCCGACGACGACAGATTTGTTCAAATTTAAGTATTTGTTTTCACCTTTGGGATTCGGGGATGGTCTTAATAATTCGTAGGGGGATTGTTGAGATTTGTTTTTGAATTTACATATTATTTCAGCCACTTACTTTTTAGATATACTTATTTTTCGGATTTCGATTTGCGATTTTATCGATAATAAATTCACAATTTTTATACACAGGTTTACGTCTCTTAACTTACATTAAAAACTTAACTCACGCAGACGAATATATGGACTTAGTATGCATAAATGCCTTTCTCATATACACCAATGCTCTATGAGTGGTATTTGTAGACTTCATTGGTTTGGTGTTCTTAAATGATTATGCGTTCGCTTCTCTGTTGCCCGTTAGTTAGGGAAAAGTTTTGCTAATTCCTTAACCTTTGTTATTTAGTACTCTAATTAACCTGTATAACTGCGTATATTGGTACCTACACTAATTTTCTTACTTCATATAATCCCGTTATTGATACTCTCTTAGAAATTAAAGTCTGATAACTTCATAACTCCCGGAATTTTCGGTATCTCCACCTGAAGCTGTCCGAGTTCTCTTGCAAGTAGCATCCGCTAGTTGTGGAGTAAACTACGTTAATTAAACCGGTATAGCACAAGTAGAAGTTGGAAAAGTTTTTGGTAGGTAGAGAGGGGGTAAACGTCAAACCACGTCGGACGGCTTCGAGTATTTCGTAGTAATGTTTACCTGCCAGTGTCGTATTCATAAAATAAGTAATTTTAAATTGTTACCGGCGGAACCAGATAATCGCATGTATTTATGGACTCTAAATAATTATTAAACATGTATTATACTATTCAAATCATAATTTTACAAAATTTCAACAGCTATTCACAATTTATTAAACTATTTACTCGAAATTGTTATTAACATCTATAAAATAATGTTGTACGCCAATGTATCGCACCCACTTCGGTTAGATCCGCCGCAAACCTGTCAATTTATGTGTATAAAGTGGGAGAACTAGCAAAAGCCTTTCCAACTTCTACCCCTGCTATAACTGAATGTTTCCAAGTCTAAGGTGTCACTCTGGGGAGAAAATGTCAAATAGGAACTCATAAACAATTTCCCAATATCACCATAGAGGTAGAAAAGTTACTACAATAATTGACAAAGAATGATTTGGTATCCTTAACTGATTCTGTGATTTCTTGAATGTTATCCGTGAGTAGGTAAGAGGTTTTATTTATTCCTGATATAGGTCCAAGATCTGAGAATGTGCCTACGTATCCTAGTACCTAAGCAAATTTTCTTACGAGTATCAGCGTTAATTAAATTGTTCAAATAATGATCTTTAAGGCTACTTGGCTATATGAGAAAGTTACGATCGTCTATTTACTACAACATTGCGCTAATACATCAATTAGGTACCAAATAAAAAATAATATATAAAATCTGTATAAGGCATTAAAAATAAGTAAAACTTTGTACTTACTGCGTCCTTCAAGTCTCTTGATATTAGTTGAAGATCTCAAATAAATATTTCTAATAAAAGAAAACAGGATACTCAGAACAATAACCACTATTATGGTGTATGGATTTACATAAAGGACCAGAATCAAATGGCCGAGCATTTTAAGGAAAATCTGAAATAAAATCGAATATTTACTTATGCTGATCTACTTTTCCTGTCTCAACTTAAAAGATAAACAGTTTTTTTTACGCCCAACAGGTCTAATATTTAAAATATAATACTAAATCTTACCCGTGACGAATTGAATAACATCATAGGTAAACTTTCATCCACGGTACCAATATCTTTAGAGAACCTGTTTAAAATTCTTCCACTTGGATTTTTATCAAAAAATCTCATGTAAGTACTGGTGATTCCATTATAAATCATGGCATGTAATGACTCTGCACAAGCCATAATAAACTTATAAAACAGAAGCGATCTAGACACTGTGGTAACCAAGCAAAATCCCAATATAACTCCATAGACAATCAGGCAAGTATTACTAGTCCAAGACATATAAAACGGTTCATCTTCTTGACCAACTCTAATAGTAATATTATTTGTATTTTTACTCTCCTCAATATTGGTCCAAAGACTTATAAACCAATCGTTTAAAGTAGCCGCACCTTGAGCTACACTCATTAAAGTCAAAAGGAAGATTATTTCGAATACATTCATTCCAGATTGGATATACTGAAGTAATAAAGATCCTTTAACAGTTCCTTTAGACGTTTTCTCTTGCATTTCTCTAGATAAATCTTTAACAACGCTATTTTCTTTCATTTGTTTCTCCTGTTCTTCGTGTAAAGATTCAGATAATGATAGTTGGCGTTTGATGAATTCATCAGCTTCTTCGGTTAGATGGATTGTTAACGGATTGTTACTTTTGACTAGATCAGAATAATTGCCTTCAATCTCTATGCGACCCTATAAAGTTTATAAATTTTAGTAATAAAAAGATAATATTGTTTTAGTTTCTGTTAATGTGTTAAAATTCCTAGGTGACAAGCTAAACTACCAGAATTTACTTACATTGTTAAGGACAACAACATGATCAGCCGTCTTCAAATAGTGCACTTGATGTGTGACCAATATTCTAGCTTTATCAGCTAAAAATCCATTTATACAATCTTCATACAACACCTTGGATACAATAATGTCCACTGCAGATAGAGGATCATCCAATAAATAAATATCAGCTTCCTTGTATATAGCTCTAGCTAAATTTACTCGAGCTTTCTGCCCGCCACTTAGATTTGCACCTTTTTCTCCTATAAGGGTGAAATCGCGATTACGAAATTGGTCAAGATCTTTTTGGAGTGCACAAACGCGAATGACTTCATCGTATCTTTGTTTGTCAAAGGCTGATCCGAATAGTATATTCTGTCTGATACTGGCTGAGAATATCCATGGTTCTTGGGAAGCATATGAGATTATGCCATTAACAGCCACAGAGCCTTCAATAATGTCTAGTTCTCCTGAAAAATAGAAAAATATTAAGATGGCTTGGTCACGTAGCCAACATAATTGCAAAAAGAGTACTGCTCAGAGGCACTACTGATGACAAAAGGAGAAATCTAAGAAGAAAATAGATAAAAGCAGTGAAGAAAGCGGTTTACAGAGACTAGGTACTACCTACTACTGTGGCATTTGTAAATTTGACTTATAAACTCCTTACCTAAAATTGTTTGAAGTAATGAACTCTTTCCACTACCAACGGGTCCTATGATACCAAGCAGACAATTAGTTCCAACTTTTACGTTTATCTTTTTCAGTATTGTTTCAGTGGCATTCCTGTCGTAAGATGCTGTAACATTATTTAAATCAATCTTATCATCAGACATAATCGAGCTGGTTAATCTATTTAAAATTGGAGGATGTTGATGTTCTTCATTTTCCAGAAAATCTTGAATTCTTTTAACTGATACCAAAAGTTCTGCGAATTGAGTCAATCCACTCACAAAGACTCCTGCTAAAGTTTGGGCTAAAATTTGGTAGTAGGACATGAATACGTAAACCTAAAAAAAAGTAAAAGGACTCACAAAATGAAAAGTCACATAATAGTGATGTTTATTTCAAATAAAAATGAAAATATAACATTTATAACTTGCAGAGATATTATTAGTTTATATGGGATTAATGGTTTTTATTAATAAATAAAATATATGAAGTTATTGAACCTACCCTTGCTGCTGTGATAGCTTTATCAGTGAACACCATTGTAGCCAAAGTAGCGAACAGAGCAAATCTATTATTGAACAAATTAAAGGCCATGAATATCCCTCTTACGTATTGGCCTCTTTTAATAATATTTATTTCTGCTCTTCTAGCAAAGGCTATTAATTTCGTAAAGGGTTTTTCCCAAGCGTACATTTTTATAACTTGAATGCCACTTATAACTTCATCCATTAGTCTGATCCTTTCATCTGTTTGAAAAGCCGTTAATCTTCTGTATTTGGCTGACAATTTACCAATATATACTAAAAAATAGATTAATATAATTTCTTAAAATTTCTAAAGTCGTTTAGTTAAAGATGTATTCGGAAAATTTTGTGTTCCTCAGGTAGAGAAAAAAGCTTGTGAAATTTTTAATCTACACTTATTTAGAACAGCCATATTTCCAAATCGAAGTAAGTAAATAAAATTGTTGTATACCTACTCTAAATGTGTAACTAAGAATAGATAGTCAATGTAATTTCTCGACAAAAAGCAAAACCATCAGAGAATAGTTAATAATTTCATAGATAGCCAGACCTAAGAAATTTTGCCATTATGAGAGAAAGGTGGTAGTATAAACCGACCAAAAATATTAACGAGGTCACTAAATATCATAAAAGAGTGCAAAAACTATGTTCACTTACTTTGTAAAGGCATTATAACAACAATGCTGACTACACCAGGTGCACCTGACCATCCTATGTCTTGATAAATTATAATCATGATGATGAGGGCTGAAAGAGGACCTATCCATAGTTGATGCACCAATGTGGCTGCTGTGTCAAATCTGTTGACGTCGTTCGATAAAAGATTTACTATTTTACCGACTGAGTTGTTTCCAATGGCTGTCTTGCTGAGTTTTAAAGCCTATAAATGTAAAGAATTAACTAAAATAAAAATTTATGAAATGTTTGAGATTCAAAGGGTTGCTCATTCATTTTTTGGAAACATGTACTAATTGAAGAAGAAATCGAAAAATATGTCAAAAACCACGAAGATAGGCCACCAGTACTCTAAAATAGAGAATCGTCGTCTTTTTCATGTAGGTTTACTTTATAATCTACGACACCAATAAAGTACGCTAAAATTATCTATTTACGTAATCCTGTTACTGGTTTGTTACTGTTATGAGAACCTATGAGACTAAATGAACTGGTGTTCAAAGCCACAAAACTCGGGCGTTCAACAAAACTGTCAAATACCTAGAAGGAAATTGTATAACAATATTGTATGTTTACAACATGATGAGTACTCTCAAAAAAGAATTAACGAAAAGAAAGGAAGATTTGTTCTTTGGATATGAAACTATAAAATAGCTAAGACACGTTGGAGAATATTCACTTGAATTAAAACACAAGATTTGTAATAATTTTAAAATACTTCTTGACAAACCTTTATGTTATTTTGAAAAGTGGTTCAATTTTTCAAATGACAATTATTTGTTTTCACTAAGTAACTTCAATTTATAGTTACATATTTCATATGAACATTTTGAAACTGTAAGTGTAAGTGAAGCATTGTCAAAAACTTGCAATAAATATGGAAAATGTATATTTAAAAACAATACTTCTGAATGAAATATATGACAAAGTATATAAAAGTGAAAATTTTTCAAATATATACAAATTAGTTACATATATTTTGTCTGTGTCTGCCACTTCAGCGTTAACTGAGAGTTTTTCTTTTGTAAATGAAAAGTGGAGAGACGAAAGGAACAAAGCTTCCCTAAATTTGATCAAGAGCGAGATGAGCATATATTTTAATTTAAAGTTTTATTGAAAAGATGCTGTAAATACCTTTAAATACGATAAATATTTGGAAAATGTTGCAAAAAGTAATAAAAATAGTAGTTTGGGCAACAAGAGTGGATATGATGGCCATACCGCACGAAGACGAAATTTGTGCACGACGTCATAGGCGGAGTGCTCAATCGTCTAAGTGCGATGTGGACAATCCACTTGAGTTGTACAGAATATTTTTTCTACGACCCACTAACGAAAATTTACAAATAAAAAAAATATTTTAGGTTATTAAGACAAAATAACTAATTTTAAAATAACTTGACTTAATAATTTTTAAAGTAAACTAAACGGTGGGTCCTTTACCACAAAATTGGCTCGCAAATGAATGCGGCGCCGTAGACACATACGCTACCGTAATCGAATAATACAAACAATTATATTATTACTCTAGTAAGGTCCGATTACAATTAGAAGAAGACAGCTACGTCATCATTTGGCAACGTAATTAATTGGTTATCGCCGCCTAATGGGGGTTTAGTGGAGTGTTAATATTAATATTAATATTAATATTAATATTAATATTAATATTAATATTAATATTAATATTAATATTAATATTAATATTAATATTAATATTAATATTAATATTAATATTAATATTAATATTAATATTAATATTAATATTAATATTAATATTAATATTAATATTAATATTAATATTAATATTAATATTAATATTAATATTAATATTAATATTAATATTAATATTAATATTAATATTAATATTAATATTAATATTAATATTAATATTAATATTAATATTAATATTAATATTAATATTAATATTAATATTAATATTAATATTAATATTAATATTAATATTAATATTAATATTAATATTAATATTAATATTAATATTAATATTAATATTAATATTAATATATATAAATTAGTTACATATATTTTAATATTTATATTAATATTAATATTAATATTAATATTAAAGTTTGGATATATTATCAAATAGTGCTTTATTCCCTAAATATAATTTGATTTATTTATTCTTGAGACTATTAGTCATTTTGTACTTATTTTAAATATACAGTTGTTACTGTTTTAATACCTATTATTCTCTCCTTCCCTTTCCAAAATCAGTTATAAAATATTCCGAGCATTTGTGAAGCCTCGGCGTTTCTATTCCCCTAGGACTAGAATAAGTCTAACTAGTTGCTAAAGCCGCTCGATTTTTGTTATTAAGGGATAATTGTATCTTTTTATAATTGTATTTTTTATTATTTTTATTTGCCACTGGCGAATGGAGGGTCTTCTTGTACTTCTGGACCCTTTGGCTAGTAACAGTGTTGCCTTCGTCCCTTAATAGTATATTGATAACTGGAGCTAAAAACCTATTTGTTAAACCAAAAGAGTCTTTAGACTTCCTGGTTGTTACACAAGGCTTAAAAAACTTAAAAAGGTTGCGGTGTTGCGGGAGAACGTCGTAGTTGTATATGCTGGAGCTTAGCGATGGAATCATGAAGATGAGGATTACTATTTTCAGCAAAATTTAAGACTGCAGACTATCATAATTCTATGGATAATAAATATTTTTTTTAAATTGCTCTGTGAATAGTTATGTTATGTTGAGAATGGGGTGTTAATACACTGCGACCTAAAAGATCTATTGGGCCCCCTTCTGTTGCCACTGCACTAAGGAAATGTCTCAATGCCTATAGTGACCCTTCCAATCCTATTTTCTCAAGGAACTGTAGGATTTGAAGTGGCTTTAAGTTAGGTAAATCTCCCTCTTCTATTTGATATCCTCCTAGATATAGTGCCTTTGGATTCTGGAGTGTGCTACACATTCAGTTAGAATGTGAATAAAGGTTTCGTCCTCCTCCTCACAGGATCTGCACTCACTATCCTCTACTACTCTCAGTTTACTTAGATGTCCTTTTAGTCGTCAATGCACGGTAAGGATCCCTGTTACAATACGTAGCCTGTTCTTGCTCAGGCAGATGCAGGTTTCCGATCTTTTCTGGTTATATTCACCCAAAAGTATCTTGGCCTGTCTTGCCCCAAGAGATTGTTCCAATTATCGGTTCTTCTGCTGCCCAATTCTTTTTTAATCTCTCCTAATATTATGTTACTGCTGATACCGTAGAACGGCTCAGGTCCTACAAAGGGTGTTTGAGCCGCTTTCCTTGCAAGACTATCTGCCATCTCGTTACCCTGTACCCCGTTATGTCTCTGGACTCAAGTGAGAGTAACTCTATTTTTCTCACCTAGCTCATTCAATTGTTCTAGGCATCTCCAGACCATTTTTGAGCTCAGCGCTTTGATGGCTGCTTGACTATCGGACATGATAATAATCTCTTGTCTATGATAGTTTCTCTTGATGTTAAACTGTATACACTTCTCGATGGCGTGAATTTCCGCCTGGAAGATGCTTTTGTATTTTCCCAAGCTTTCGGAGTGCTTGGTGTTCTCGGCCCATACATTCCTATTACAGTTCCTTCTATGGTTTTGGAACCGTCCGTATACTACTGAATAGCACGTCTCTCGGTTGCAAGCGCAATGGATTCTTGGCTCTATTCTTTTTTGCAGCCCAGCTCTGTGGTTTTGAAGTTTTTCACAAAACTGTACTTCTTTTGCATTTCATCCTGGGGCATGTCCCAGGTATCTTTAGTCCTGAAGCAAGTAGACTTTCGTTTGATTACTCCGTTCCTGATCATTCTATATCGTGTCCTTTTTGCCACATTCTCTATCATCAAATGTAGAGGGGTGAGGTTTAAGATCACCTCAATTGCGGCCGTAGGACAGGTTCTCATTGCACCAGTAATGCAAACACAGGCTAGTCTTTGTACTTTTGAGGTATTTGCTCTCGTAGTAGCTAAACTAGTTCTGTTACTCCGGGCTATAGCCCCGTAAGTGATGATTGGTCTCACTATTGCAGTATACATCCATCGCAGTATGTTTGGGTTATATCCCCATCGTTTACCTGCAATGTTTCTGCATACCATTAGGGCTTTTGTGGCCTTATTTACTGCTTCCTTCTCATGTGTGTTCCAGAAAAGTTTGTTGTCCAGGGTTAGGCCTAGATATTTGACTTCATTTTTCCGTTCTATATCTATCCCGTCTGAATAGTCAATACCCACCATTGCTGGAGGAACCATCGCTAATCGCCATGGATAAATGCTTCTTACCATAGTTCTTTAATATAAAAATTTCCCCAAGCTTCGTGAATGTGGCCCTACTAGAATGCCAACTTTTAATAAAATAGAAAACCCCAGATGACGCAAACAATGAAATGTTGAGGCACATAGAAGCTGCTAATGAATTATTTGGATCAAGCATCTAAATTTTATTTCAATCAAAACATAAAACAAAATTTACCCTTAATAAAATAGATATTTCAAATAATGCTGAAAAATTTTTTAAAAGTAAATGTCGATCCAAAATTAACTTATTAACAACCTCAATATGAATATAGCTTTTGAACAATACATCTGTATGTGTGAATTTCTGGCCTGTAACATCTACAGTTTGACCCAAATGTATAAAGCGTGCAAAAAAATTAATTCAAGACAATGATTGGACAAAACTTATAATAGTTATAATGAAAATGAAACTAGGATTGTCGTTAATTTGGCAAAACATCTGGACAATGAATACTGTTTCAGTAAATAGAATAAATGATTTTTTTTTAATATAGTATTTTTAATTTGTTTATTTTAATAATAGCCTATGCTTACTTTGCGATAGATTAATGCTGAGACAGAAACTCTAGCTCTCATCCCAGAATGCATCGAGTTCATTGTGTACTGATTCTTGATAAAAGACGTTACAGTATTTAATACTACTATCAATCCCGCGTAGCTTAAAGCCTGTTCTTTGGTAGTTGTGGAATTCGGATTGTAATAATTTAGTAGCAACCCAAGGATATAAGGTTGGCTGATTTTCATAACCACATCTCCTAGGAATGTTAGGAAACCTAATCGAAGGTATTCTAACCAGAATGTGTTCCATATGGATCCCAAAAGACTTGGTTTCTTATTATTGGATTTTGTATTCTGTGCCTTCCAGTTTCTAGGATAATAAACAAACAAATATTAGATGAAGATTATATTAGAAGAAGATATATCTTAAAGATATATGAGTATATAGTGAAAATAGAAAAACTCGAACAAATTAAACAGTACAATTTAATTCTTGTCAGTATAAATAATATAATAATCATTATACTTTACCTTTCCAAGGTGTCGCCCAATAGTGTACTTCTGTCATTCTTGAGAGGATTATACAAATCTTCAATGTCAAAATCTTTTCTCATTCCTTTCTTGAAAATTGGATATGTGAATCTGTAAAATCAAAAATATGATCTCCCCTTAAAGTTATCCCTTGTATCAAGATGCATTTTTATTGGTCGTTAATAGCTATTAGAAAAATTGTTATTTGGATTAATCTTTTGCGATCTTCGTCCATATCTGCATCTAAAAAATAACAGGATGTTCGAAACCTATGGCAGATGTTTGTATATTCTACCTAGCCATCAAATAGTAGATTAGAGGATTAAAAAAAAATGTTTTTATAGAATCTAAGTTGTTTGCATGGCTGGTAGAATACATCAAAATCTCCCCACATAAATTAAAATCTTTACTTACCCGAAAAAAAGTGTGGAGAATAAATTTGAACTGTCTCTGGGGTTCGGATTATACGTTTCTTTGGTTGTGTCCATTTTGACATACTAGTTACTGTTCAATACAGATGAAATATATTTTTTTCAAAATATTACACAATCTGTAAAAACCTCACTTTTCTCATTTATTGTAAATAAATCGACCTAAAATTTTAAAACTAAAAATAACTTGACGTTTACTACCTATTATACCAGCAGTAATAAAATGACTGATGTAAAGTGCGACATTCTCTCTTTATATTATCTTTTCTCGCTTTGGGTATTTTTAGATTTAAATTAAAATCATTTGTTATGACAGTTTAATAAGCTTTGTTAGTATTATTCAAACCAAATAGTAAAACACAATCCGCTCAAGTAGATGAAGTTTAATTATGAATAATGAGTACTGTAAATTTTGAATTTAAAATATCTTAATTTATAACTTTGCAGTTAGATGATATCAAATACTTTCTACACATTTTGGAAGAATTCCTATTGAATTATTATTCTATCATATTTGTATAGAAACTTGTATTTGCTTTATTATTATCATCATAATATTAAAATTATATATTATTTTGAGTGAATTTGTTTAAATAAGTGCATTTAATTGAATCGTCAAGGTCAACGAGTCTAAAATTCATATGAAAACGTTATGAAACAGGTAACTAATTATCTTAGGTATACTTAAAGAATAAGAACAATATTAACAATAGATAGCAATGTTAGACAATATGTTGTAATCTCCATTTAGCATTAGGGGTATGTAAGCAGTAACCCAGCTAGTAGATAACGTTGTCAAGGATACAATAGTAAAAGAAACGAACACAAGGAAATGAAAAGAAGACATTTCGCTGTTAGATGATTTAAGTAGATAGTTTTAATTTTAGGAAAGCATTAAAATTTTAGAAAAATATCTTATCATCACTCATTGCAACTACTGTCAAACGCAGGTTTCAAAACTCTATTTTATAAATAAAATCGATACTCACCAATGGATGATAGATAATTATAGGTACTTGAGTCAAAACAAGGACTACACTGATCAGTTATCGGTTGATGCTATTATTCCTGCCATTTTATTCAATAAGTGTTTAATCTTATTTCCGATAAAGCAGATATACCGTGTGACCCAGAATATTGATTCCTCCTTGTAACTTCTAAAGTAACAAATTGTAATTATGAATTTTGTCAATTATCAAAACTTTCCGTATCAACTAAACATACGGTTCTTTTTAATATACAGGGTGTTATTGAAATACACGTACATATTAAAACTGGGTATTGCGCAGATCCCCACTGAATGTAGAAAAATATTATTTTTTAAAAATACCCCTTATTAAGGGAGTTATTAATTTTTGAAAATTAATTCTAAAACAAACGTACTTCACTGATATGTTGAGGATGACCTATATAAATTAGGTTTATTTACCTATTTTAAACATCAACAGTAATTAATATGCAAGTTTTTGTCAGATGATAAGAAAACTAGTCTTGTAAGAAATAACCATGTTGCCAAGATTTTCGAATTAATTTCTATTTCCGAAGACTGGTTTTTACTACCCTCGTTATCAAAAAACTAGAATATTTGATAAATGATTGTTTTTAAACTATACATTTTTGAAACTATAGATTATTAAAATTTTAGTTGATTTACGAATCTGGCTAACACGAGCGCGTCATTTCCAAGTTGGTAAAAAGTGTTGTTACGATTACTTTTAAATATTTTTTTACGATGCCACTATTTACGAATATTGAACTAACGGATATAGTGCTGGTTTATGGGGCAGCTGGAGAAAATTCTCGGCAAGCACAAATCCTGTATCGCGAACGGTTTCCAAATCGGAGAATTCCGGACTGTCGTACGTTTATTTCAACTGTTCAGCATCTAAGAGACCATGGACAATTTGAGAGTGTCAATGCAGATCGAGGGAGAACAAGAACACAAAGAACATTGGCGGCCGAAGAAGAAATATTGGAAGCTGTTGAAAACCGGCCTCAATTAAGTTGTAGAAGACTAGGTCTTGAAATTGGAGTGTCCTCATTTGTTGTGTGGCGGACACTTAAAGAACAAGGTTTACATCCTTATCAGATCCAAAAAGTCCAGGTCTTATATCCAGGTGATGAAGAAAAGAGAGTGGAGTTTTGTGAATGGATGATTCAAAAATGTGTTGATATTCCTGATTTTCTAAAAATATTATTGTATACTGACGAGGCTTCATTCACTCGTGATGGCGTGTTCAATATGCACAATACGCATATTTGGAGTGATGAAAATCCTCACGCCATTAGGGAAACTGGGCATCAAAGAAAATTTTCAATAAATGTTTGGGCTGGCATAATAGATCAGTATTTAATCGGGCCTTATGTTCTCCCGAACAGATTAAATGGGCTAGGATATCTCCACTTTTTAGAAGATATTTTGCCAGTACTCCTAGAAGAGATACCGTTACAATTAAGGCAACGGATGTGGTACCTACTAGATGGCGCTCCTCCTCACTTTGATTTAAACGTACGGCAGTTTTTGAACATTAGATTTCCTCAAAAGTGGATAGGCAGAAATGGACCTACTAAGTGGCCTCCGAGATCTCCGGACTTAAATCCATGCGATTTCTTTTTGTGGGGTCACATGAAACAACTGGTTTATAATGAACCTATTAATAGTGTTGAACAATTAACCAATAAAGTTAATGCGGTAGCCGAGGAACTACGACAAAATCCAAGACTAATTTCTAATGTTCAAAGTTCTTTGGAAAGACGATTGCAAGTGTGTGTAAATAATAATGGACGGCATTTTGAACAATTACTGTAATAAACTTTATTTTGAATTAATTGGTTTTGCCACGGCAACAGTGCAATTTCTATGGGTAAGTTCAATTTCGATTTATTTTACTTCTTTAAATATGGAAACTAGTAGGTCGGAAACGGGGACTCTTCCCCAATATTTAAATTTTAGAATTTGAAGTTAAAATTGGTGCCAATCGTTTTTGGTCATTACATACTATTCCCCATTTTAATATGTACGTGTATTTCAATAACACCCTGTATAGGTATCTAGCACATTTAATAACTTTGTGCACTGGTTGATACCAAATTTGATAACGGTAGGTATATCTTTGATACCGGTATTTTTTTCCCATCTTTAAGAGCCCATCTCTTTTCTCGCTGTGACGATTCTGCGGTCTGTCAATCGATAACTATTTTTGACATTGTGACTTGAAATTTTAATTTAATGGTCAGAACCATCCTCTGTTAATTAAGTTCATATGTTATTTTTGTCTTTACCGTCTTTCATATAATGATTACACTGAGATATTATTTTATTTTTTAAGTATCGGATAACGCGCTTTCAGCTAATTAAAAATACCTTTAATTTCTGTAAAATCTGTTTTTTTAATAATTGAAACGTTTTATTTTATTCCTTCCTATTTAACATTTCTTTATTATATCGTTTAAAGACTACTTTTAGCTCCAGAAATACGAAAACAAAAAAATCTCTGATCGGCTGTGCATGAATAGGTATGTATGTGCGCTGACATAATAAATTTAGAACGAAAGCTATATGATCAGCTTAAGGGTTTTATTCTACTTGATAATATAATTTTTTTTCACGGTGCTTGTTTTATGTACTGCGGCAAGGATACTAATATCACTATAGTCTGTTCGCTATACTTACACGGGTTTCGGATTAACAAAATTATGCAAATTAGTCATTGACAACTAGTTCCAATAAGCCCCTTCCCAAGAAATTAGGTAAAATTGCCCTAATGGTCAGATTTAAATTAAAATAACATTAGAGTAGGTAGTAAATTTGTTACAAATATTGCAAATTTTTAATCCGAAACCCGCGTAAGTATATTAATTAATTATTTAAAGTTTTTAGAAGGTTGTTTTAAGAATTTTATTAAGGAGTTTATTTATTGTAAGTTAAAGTGAAAAATGAAAATAATTGCTTCTGGTTCACCTACAGTAAATCAGGAAGTCTGTTTGGCGCTAAGATGGTGATTTCAGAATAGGGGTTGCCCGGGCGCCAGTTTTGGTAAAACGGTTTGCTTTGTAGTACACCAGAGTGTACTCAAGATAAACTCAGTGGAGTTATAAATATTTCTAGGCGGTCCCTGCTAACGAGGTAGCTACTAAACTAGAATTAAAACACTTATCTCCTTTATACCTCGTACCCTACGGTACCCTGAAAGAAAACTATTAAGAACCGGTAATAAGAGAAACCCAAAAATAGTGCGTGGTATCGGCACACTTGTATACAGGAAATATATTCTTAATGAAAAAAATTAATTAAATACAACAGTTGAAAATTACAGAAAAATAATTATAAGTATATGGAAAATAAATAAAATTATAAAAATACCACAGTTTAAAGTTACAGGAGAATACTTGTGGTTCACCCTGTATACGGAAAATGAATCAAATTAATTATTACAGCTGAAAGCTACAGGAAAATAATTGTGGTTTCCCTCCATATGCAAAATAAATAAAATTAATAAAATATAGCGATTAGAAAATCACAGAAAAAGAATTATACTTTTCCCTGTATAGGGAAAACAAATTTATCAATGAATAAAATTAAATACTTCCTGTAAATTAAGTTAAAGTAAATATTGCAGTTCGATAGCACAGGATGCTAATCAATCCGGAAATTATGAACCTCCCTGTGACAGAAAATGAATTATTAGTAACTAAAATTAATTAAATATAACGGTAATAGAATATAAGAAACAATTGTAACGGAAATTTACGAAACGCCCTGTATACAGAAAATACATTTATCAAAAAATAAAATTAAAATTTTCCTCTAAATAAAATTAAAGTAAATATAACCTTTCACTAATATCGGAAAATATTCAATCCGAAAATTATGTACCTTCCTGTATACAGAAAATAAATTTTCCCAATGAGCAAAAATTAAATTAAATATTCTGGTCTAAATGGTATACGGAAAATAAATAAAACGGAGTAATTATTTTCAATAATACGGCTGATCGATTAGAAAAGCTCCAAAATAAGTAAAAACGGGTAGCTACGACACTCCTTGTATTTGAAAATGAATTTTCCAATAACTAAAATTAAATTGTAAATTATAGGTCTGTTCTGGTTTTGAGAAATAACGATCCACAACTGTCGGGCTCATGCGCAGTAGATAAAAAGTGTTCTGGTTTTTCTGGGACTACTTCAGATCTCTCAGTCCAGTGTTCTGGTTTCGTATCCGAAATAATCCGTGATTGTTGTAAACAGTCAAAAAGTGTTCATGCTTGGGAGTGTGGATCGACTCGGACTGTTTTGACCGCGCATGCGTTTTTGAAGTGTTATGAATATTGTATTGGCTTTTTAGACTATACGAAACGTATACAATCCCAAATTGTTTATTTATATGTGGACGAATGTCTCTTGTTCTTGTTTTATTTGTAAATTAAAGCAATTTTAGAATTATTAATTTTTTAATATTATTCTGTTTTTATTTATTCCATTGAAATGTGATGATAATGGTAAACATACATGCAAATGTTATTTGAAGCTAAGCTTTCAAAAGGAACTTCATTATTATAATAAACAATAAACAAAACACCTTTATGTGTTCTGGTTTTCCAACAATTTCAAACAGTCGGGG